AGAACTATATTTTCAATCTGCTTTTTGTAGCATCAAAAATAAATTAATCTGTTGTTGAACATTTCAAATTATTGTAGGATTTAATTAATTTCCCTTCACTTAGTTCGTACTTTCTGTTAGTCTAAAAAATTATTAAAAGTTTAATCCTCTATTTCACTGAATGCATTTTTTGAAATTCATTGAGAGAAAACTAAATATTTAGTTGTAACATTTTTGCACTTTAATGCCAGTTTCGAATAGGATCTGGTTTTCAGGTATACTTTCGATATTTCTTTTTTTTCAAGTTCATCCTTTAAGGTTTCAAGCCCTAATCGAAAAACAACACAAATTCTCACTTCAAATAATATAATCCAATTACCACATCATAGCTTCTAGTAAAATCATTTTGCTTAAAGTTTTCAGTTTCACGCGTTCTTCATTGAATTTCTTTATTTCTGAAAGAAAGAGCCATTTTTACATTTCTGAAGAATCAAGTATGCATTTCCAGATTATTTTTAGTGAAAAATCATTTGAACTACTTTAAAACCTCTGGGACAGAGTACTACTAGAACCGACAACTTTTAGCAGATATACTCAGTTCCTGTACAATTTTTGAGAAAGTTGTCAACCGTAAAAATGTTCGTCATACTTCGACAAACGTTCTGTCAGTTGACTACTTTTGATATCCTTCAAAAGAAGGCATATTATTACAGTTTTTACCAAATAGTCAATTGTTTGTTTATTTTTTGATCACGAAAAAAAGGTCAATCGGATATGAAAACTAATATAAATCGAACGAATAACAGGTATCGTAAAACCAGTATCGGTCCCGTAATTCTATTGTCCCGTAGTTCTATTGTTCCGAGGTATCTGCGGAAAACCCTTTTACTACAGGGGCCCTTCAATTAGAGGGAGCACTTTTGTTTTTTTGTTCATTTTTCTGAAAATTTCATCACATTAAGCGGTGAATTTGCGTTCACAATAATATCTATCAGTTTCACCATAATTGAGCAAATTTTCCATCGAAATCTGTGTTTCAACAAATTTCTGAAATGTTTTTGACTGAAAGCGTACGGAAATTTCTAATTTAAAACAACACATTTTGAAGGTGGCGGTGCTTTTACAGGTGGCCCTTCTTTTTTTCCGAGCTCCTCCCGGAGGTCCAGGTTTTATGGATATTTTTGATAATATAAAAATGAAAATAACCGCTGAAAAAATATTTTTTTTGTATGATTAAATTAAAAAATTTATTTAAAAACATATTTTCAAATTTGATTAATTCTTGCTCTCACTTGTAGTTTGTTTTAAATCCAACTTCTTTTAATCGAACAAAGTTCACTTCTTCAGTTTTTGAAAATAACATTTCATTGAATTGAACTTTTCAAAATCACACGTTTTTGCTTCAAAAATTGCTCACTGAAACCGTCTGACTCGTTTCATTTTTTGAGTTATTCTTCAGAAGCCGAATATAACAAATCATAATCCCACGTTCGCTATAATCCAATTTACCACGTCACAATTTTTTCAAAATCTTTCGTCTGAAATCCCCAGGTATGCCCGTTCCATTCTTCCTAAATCCCTTCATTCTTTCTGGACGCATTTCCTTTTTTCTCTATTTTTTTTGCTTTTCCTGTCATTCACTCTCCCATGCATAGGTCACCGCAAAGACTGACCCCATTCCCGAGCAAAGCGATTTTGCTTAGCATGCCCATTTTTTTGCTCCGTCAAAAAGTTCCCATACAGTCCCTTGTCTTGCTCTTTTTCTTCTGAAAGAAAATTGCAGAACCATTACTCGTCCTCAAATAGTCGTGTCGTCTTCCATCGTTTTCAAAAACTCACCATTCGTTTTGTCATATATTATTTATTTTAAAAAATGTGTTCACCCCTCGGCTTTTCATTCGCCATGCACTTTGCATTTGGTGTGTTTACACATTTGAAACATCAAACCCCTTCATTTCAGTTAGAAATGTGAACCAGGAACGAATCTGATAGAATAGATCTGATCTGCTGACGTTGTCATCTTAGATTTGTACCCCTTTTTTGACATGATCCCTAATCAGAATCCGTGCCCTGGCACCAAAATCTCATACGTAGAGCATGTTTTCGACTTGGTGCCAGGCACCGGATATCCGTCACTAATCCGTGACAAGATATCATGGAAGGATTGTTCTGATCTTCTTTACTCGAAATGCTTCGATGAATCTCGAAGTTATTTAAACATCAGAAAGAAGAGATCTAACAAAAATTATAAGATTCGATAATCAAAGTTTAACATTATAAAATACAATGTTAGTACGGAGCATAGCAAATCATCGAAAGTAAGATTGTGACAATTAGAGATTCCAGTGCTTTTCAGACAAAAAATGCATTGTTTTTCTGGTTTGCAAAAATACCCTGCAAAACACGGAACTTCAAGCTTAACTTGATAAGACAGGCTGAGTTTTATGGCAGTCTGGAACAAATAAGTAATAGGCTATTTTCACAAATTTCTCGGAACGGTTTTTGAAAATCTCTGCTGAATATTTTCAAGGTTTTCAATATAGTATCCAACATTGGACATGTAAAAAAGTTTGAACGCGGCTATATTTCATACATGTCGTCTTTCGAATATTCGTCTTCTCACATCTACATCCGCTTGTCCTTTTTGTATCCCAAGGTCTCACTTTTTTCGAGAAGACTAATTCGTCAGCCATATTTCACTTTGACAGGAATCCATCTCTTTATTCTTTTTTTTTTGAAAAAAACTCTTTGAGATTTTGTATTCACTGGCCTTTCAAAAAAAAAAAATATTATTCATTTCAAAACGGAGCTTTCTAAGATTTTCACAGCATATAATTTCGAAAAAAAATGTCACATCATTTTTTTCCAAGTTCCTCTGAAAAATAGAAGACGTGAGAGCGTAACGATGGCCAAAGAGTGCTCATTGCTACCTGGCTCTTGTTGGTACCGCTATCATGTCATTGAAGAAGAAGTAACATCCGTGACATTCCGAAGTATTTGTAGTTTTGAAGTTGCATCTTGTTATTTGTCATTTTGTTTGATAATCAAGTAAAAATTTGAAAATGTGCCAATATATTTTTAATAGCACAAGTATTAATTCAAATGCATACAACCATCTGAAAAAGTCAATTTAATTGAATTTTTAGCAAAAAAATCAAACTTCATTAAGCCAAGGATGAAATTTTTTTCTAAAAACGATCTCAAAACAGTTTTTTTTGACAGAATCGTCCTCTAGTGTGGAGTTTTATTTATTAAGGAGAAAAGCCATCTTGAAAAATGATGATTTGCTCTAAAATTTCGAAATTTTCAAAAAGCGGGCCGGCCATGTGTAATTTTTTCCGGCCCGCTTTCAGAAAAATCTCGGCCCGGCCTCGTCCGGCCCGCGGGCCGGCCGTCTTTTCCACAAGTTTGATAAATAGAAATAACGACTTCGAAAAAACAAAAAATAAATAAAACGAATCTACAACCATATTCTTATCTTTGAAAGATTCTCCAATCGAAATTCAGGTCAGTTTGATAATTACGTAGATTCTCCGGAGTAAGGTCGGAGAGGCGGGATTCAGGTCGAAGAGGCGTCTAAATTCCCAAATTTTGGAAAAATACAAAAGTCAACGAAAACAATACCGTTCTCCAGCCCATTGAAGTTCATAAGACTGAAACAGTAATTCACTCCTTTGGAATATTTTTGGTTTTTTTTTCGTCAAAGATTATTAAGCTACCGTTAGCCAAGAATATGAAAAGAAAACAAAAATCAGACATTAGTTACTTTTTACAGTTTGTAAATTTTTGATATTATACATTTTACAATGAACACGATAAATGTGGTTAAAATGTGAGATTAATAAACAATTTTGGGTCAGAGTTGATAGTGAGCTGTTTCATTTCTAATGGTACCGTAAAGGGAGTCTCAAGAAAAATGAGGAAGTAATACGTCGAAATTCTAAAACACCTACATATTTTTTTTTATTTCCGGTAATTTTTTCTGAAAACAATGGCTGCTCAGCTGTGTTATTGTCCGGACCTACCCCAATTCTTGACAAAGAAACACTCCAAAATTCCACGTACACACACATACACACAATGTCCTCACATCTGTTCATTTCAAACAGGAGCAGCTGGACGAGAACTCCCTGCGACTGTTATCCTTCAGACCAGCCGCTCATTTGATTCATCTCTCTCTTTGCCAATAAGTAATCCATCCATCCTTCTTAGTGTTCTCGCACTCTTCATTCCACCCATAAATGTCAATGAATGTTGTGTTGTTGAACAACCTCATTTCTCGCACCATTACCCCCTTATTCACTGAAATTCAACACAGCACATCACCCATTCCCCATTCCTTCTCCTCATTCTTATTGTTCGGTAGCTAAATACGGGCGACCTTTCAACTCGTTTCATTCTTTTCTTCCTTTTAAAAGTTTCAACGGCGTTTTGGTAATTAGTTATCCTTGTATCCGGTCTGTGACAAATGGATGCCTCGAAATTTGAAACTAAGATCTAACATGAACAAACTTTTAAACAATTCAGTATGTTCCAATTTGAATTTTCCAAATTCTTCGGCGTTTCATTTATGCAATCTCGATATATGAGAAAATCCTCAACGCGTAATCCAAATAGAAGGCAACCGAAAGGTCATTCGGGGCCAATGACCGCAATCTGAGTTTGTTCCTGCTGTCCTACCCGATCGTTATCATATACATAACCCTGCTGTCTAGAACGTTCCGTCATCTTTTCTGCCTTCATAATCTCTTATTTCATTACCTTTTTTCTCAACATTCTCATTCCCTCTTTCTCTCCCACACTGTTCTATTTCCACCAATATTGTTTGTTCCGTTGTGAGAGTGAGAGAGCTCTACCAGAGGTAATGCAGCACACACTACGGAAAGCAAACATTCAACCTGACTCTCCCCTATGACTTCGATGCTGCCTTTGTGAATACTATAACTTTATTGATCGATTTTGTCCAACTATATACTAGTAGTAGCCGGCTCACAATTAGATGAATCATTCATCCATATATTTCAAAGAATCTCCCCGCATTTCCTGATTTTCTCTTCCACTATCCCTTCATGAGCTTCTTCTTCTTCTTTTTTCATCCACGAGCTCGGTGAATAATTCATAAGAAGTTTTGAATATAAAAGAGGCTACATTCATAATACTCTTTTTGAAAATTTCTAGATATTTTTCACTCTTTTTTCATCATCATCATCCTCTTCCATCTCATTGGATTCTTTGAAATCCCACCTGTGGGCGTATTGCTCGGATTGTTTGAAATTAATTCTAATCTATCTTCTCAAATCGAAAGAAGTTCCGTCAAAAGGACTGGTAAGAGTGACCATCTATTCTCAGATCAGAACTTTTTTAGTTGTCCAAGGTCGCCTTGTGTCCTCATTTTCGAATGGATCCTCTGTTTCAAAACGACCTTCTTGGCAAACTGATCAAATCAAATTTTTAATATATAATTAATTTATGAAATCTCAGATCCATCGAGTCTTTTGATTAGCAATAGGCAAAGAAAGTAAGAAAATGCCCGTATCCATAATAAGGTCATATTTTATTATTCCACGGGAATAGGAGGCCACGGACCACAATGACTAATGAGGTGACCCTTCTTAGCCGGATCGTTTCTGCGGCTACCCCACTTGACCCGGCCTATGCAAATCTCCGAGCTTTGGTTCAAATTAATACCTTCTTTTTTGAAAAAAAAAGTGACTTGATTGTTACTTGACAGACAACTTGACAAAGAACAAACTGCTGACAGCTGAAAAACAAACTAGAGGCTGAAATTGAGCTTTTGCATTTCTTTTTTTCCATAACAAACATCTGTAACGCTGATGTTGTTTTTTCTTTTGTCACTATGTTATGTTCCCATGTTCTTCTTCTTTATTCAAACATCTTGGCTTTATACTTTCTTCCCAGAAGATGTTTCAAAATGCTAGCACATATTTTGCTCATAATCTGAAACGATGTGTGTAATATATGCATGTATTTCGCCCTGGCACTATTCAAGCTTCTCTCACACCCCGCGCAGTGTTGAGAAAAAGGACGAGAGGGAAATCAATAAAAATGTGTCCATGTAACGGGAGAGAGCAAGAAAAGAGACATGCTTTTGGTGGTAAGGGTGGTGGTGTTGTAGACGAGCCCCGCTACGCGACAGCAGGTGCTCAAACTCGCTACATCGCATCCTTTTTCATTTAGCCACCACCTTCGGTTCTGTTGTTCCTTTTTGCCTTTGAAAGCGCAGATGGCGTTAGACCTAGGCCTTGGAATTGTTAGTGGTTTCATAACGACTGTCAGAATGAATTAAATTAAACCGAGATGTATTATCTACCATCTGCCATTTTCATTTCATTCGAAATTTCGGTTTTTTTCACTTCCTCCCTCTTTGAAACTTTTTTTGAAATCAATTCCATACATAAATTATTTCAAAACTTTCCCGCTTGATTTGCATATGACTGCCGCCGCCTAGCTTTCATGTTACATAGATTCCCCGTTCTATTAATATTTTCATGTTTGTTTTCATCGTTAGCTACACAGAAAAAAGATACTCAGAAATGAGAAGAATAAGTCCATTTTATTTAGATATCATTCGAATTTCTCATCATTTTCTGAGAAGTCCAGTAGATGAAAAAAAAAACAATATCTGGGGGTGTGCGCGTTCGGGAAAAATGAGTCGACGCATTTCAGCTCATCTTTCAGTTCCTTCTTGGATCACTTTGCATTTCATATATTTTATTCTGATGCCTTTTGTTGTACTCGTAACAAAAATGCTTCCTTCTGCCCATCATTTGAACTTCGAGGGCGTCCAGAACACCCTAATTCCCCATTCAATTCTAATTTTGAAGCTCTAATTCAGAATTTCAGTTCTTTTTTCTTATTTCATTGAAGCCATTTCTTGTTTCTTACCTACGTGATTTTGATCTTCCTTAATTTTTGTTCTCCACGTCACAATTATGGCTTCTTCCTGTTCATCAGCTTTCACGGAGCCGAAAATATTGAAACACTAATTAAATGAAGCCTCACGTCCGTTTTTCAAGTGTTTCACTTCAGGTGTACGGTAAACATACAGAAATGCAACTGAAAAAAGCGGGCCGCGCAAATGTTTAGAAAGGAGAGAAGAGGTATTGGAAAGGAAGGAAGCGTTGAGTCATCGTACACCTTCTTCGCATACTGTGCAATGATTTCGTAACGTTCCTCTTACTGAGGAAAGCCATTGAAGTGATCCGAAAGACTAGTTGTTTCGAAACATGGCGTAATTCTCTGGCGCCAACTATTCCAACTTCAACTCCTCACTTAATTTTTCATTTATAACTTTCGTTTTTTTCTATAACCATGCATTTCGGAACGATGAAGCGTAAATTCTAGGAAAGAGCAAAAGTGCACCTTTTCATCCATCTTCCTGATTTTCCTTTTTCTTCCTTGAATTTCTTTTTTGCATTCCTGAAAAATGGTCCCCTTGAGAATTGCTTTCGCAACTTTCCTTCCTTTTTGCCTTTCGTTTTTACAACTCCAATTTATTATCAATCATTAAAGAAAGCAGGAAACACCATCGCGAAAACTTTCCGGTCCACAACCATGATTTTCAGTTTGTTGAAATTTTAATTTCTTCTCCGAGGATAGTGGTAATTGAAGAATAATCTTGTGACTATTTTTCAAGATTTTTCACCAAAAATTGAACGAATTACTGATTTTGATTGATCCAAATGTCATTGTTCGATGACTATTTAATCTGTCAATGGCCCACTCGAGTTTCAAGTTCAGTGTTGCTTTTTTTAAAATTTGTTTATTGATCAGGTGAATAAAACATTAGAGGGCAGGACATGCTTTGGCAAATTTAGTTTGAGAAAGAAAAATAGTGTGAACAAGAGTGAGAGGTGTCACATTTGTTCGATGGCTCATATTTCGTGCTTGAATGAGTCTGTGACTTGTTCTATGTGCAGAAATGTTCTATGTGCAGAGGCTCTTTGAAAATTTCCATCATGTCACATTCTCATGGCAGTTTTGCACTTGATATCTATTGGAGTGGAAGTCATTAACAAAATCTGCAATTTGTCATATCTTTTTGCTCTCCTGCTTCAGAATATTTCTGTATATTACTGTAACAGAACTGTAATTTTTGAGCAAGTCAAGGCTGTCAAACGGACACTATGCAAATTTTGAAAACCTCCGAGAAGGTTATATGAGTGTCACAAAAAAAGTGGCAATTCATTTGACGCTATTCAAATGGAAAGTTTTTTTTTCCCGTAGAGGCGGTGACTCATTTCTCTCCCATCTCCCTCCCCTTCCAATTTTAGTCATGCCATTTTTTCGGATTTTTTTCGGTCCATTTTCCTCAATTTGTACAGTCAACCAAACAAAAAAAAACATATTGCCATTCGCCTCTCGACTGTTACAGTTTTAGGGGAATAGTTCAAAATAAATTCGATAGCAAAAAAAAGAAAGATGAAAACCCAAACAGCGGGAGGTAAAAACTCCCGGGTATACGCATTGAGGCAAAAATACACATAGCGAGGGAAAAGTTCGGTATGCTAGAGGGTGAGAGAGAGTTGGAGGGCATCACCATAGTGTTGTCCAACCAACCGCAGAACCGGTTGGGGCCTTGGCGGCCCTCTCCGCACCGACCACAGTTGAGAAACGACCCATCCCCAATCCAATGCACCTCTTTCACTCTCTCTCTCATTTCATTCTATATTTCTTCTTCCACCTCTCTTGATTATGTACTGTATATTAGCGATGATGGAAAAGAGGGGGGAGGCATCGGTCTCTCTAATTCCACCACACACACTTTTTTCTTTCTCTCTCATCATTTCTCACACTTCATAGGTCTCATCATCAACCACAGTCCCCGATCGTAGTGTTTTTTAAAGTGATTGATTTCATTTCTATTGTGTCGTGTTGTTGTGTTTTTACTTTCCTTGCACTAATTTCCTGGTTGTCATGGTAATCTTTTCAAAACCAAGCGGATTCAAGAGAACCGTATTCTTCAAAACAAGCTTCTTTTTGCCCAAATGAGCCAAACATCGTTCTCATCCATTTCTCGTGCTTTTAGTTAGTTATGATTTTTGTGATGTTTGGATGCTCTGAATTTAGAATATAGATGTTTGAAGTCGGTTGCAAGATGTCTCCGGGGGCTGCTTCTGAAAGAGTACGCATGGATGGCTCTTCAGAAATAACGAGCTCAGAAAACATGACAAAGAAGCAACTTTTTGTGAAATCATTGAGTTCCTTGTTCAAAGAAAATATTTTGTTCCAAAAATACCCGACAACTTTTGAAATCATCTAATATTTGGTGTCATATCACATCACCTTGTCATCAGTCAATATTATACCAAAAACACATTTGCAAACATGTTCAGTTCAATTGATCGATAGATAACACGCGATCTAAATTTGATAATACTAGCTTTCATCTTTTTCACTCCCGACTGTTCTTATTTCTGTAGGTTGATTTGTCCTTTAAATTACAAAAAGTCAACCGGTTTAGTCAGTTCAATCAGTCAGGCAGAAGATATTTCATTTTTCAGTTACAGTAATCACAACATTTGTTTTGTGGTTGCTCAACAACATCAACATCAAAAGTTAAAGTTTCTTAGAAATTTTAACATTTCTTAGAAACTCAATGTCTTACCTTTAATTTGTGAAAGTTTATGTTGCGGTCTGAAAAGGTCTTTTTAAATTCTTTTTGAAAAACATTTCAAGACCAAAAAAATATGTTGCTCTATAATTAAGAAAATGTTTATGGCTGTCCGTTTTCGATTGGAATGTTAGCTTTTTATGTTTTTAAGGTTGAGAAGAGTGACTGTCAAGCGGAAGTTATAAAACGTTTCCGGTAAAAAAGCACACGTATTCCTTTGAAATTGAAGCTTAGAGCATTTTGACAATCCAACGAACAGGCTAGACAGGAAATTGTGCATTTTTTTACTTTTCGTTTGGCCTACTGTCTCCGGATGTGGTTGTGCCAGACTTCTGGGTATTTTGCGGTTATGTGGGTGTTCCAAACTCCAACAAGGGAAACTAAGCACATTGTAAATTCAGGTTTTGTTAAAAAATTCAGAAAAAGGTTAAGAGTAGATTATCTAAACACCTCTGAAAGTTTTAGAATCACTAGTTTCAGCTACAGTACCAAAAATCGTGTTTTCAGCGTAAAACAAAAATTTTTAAAGACGATTTTCCCAATTTCTGGGATGTTAGAATTTGACGGATTTCACATTACAAACACTTTTCAAAAGTGTCCATATGAACTATTCTAAACTTATCCTACTCATCAAAATCTGGGTTTACGAAGGGTCGGAAGTCCCTTTTGATAAATTGGTCCTGCCGATATTGTTAGTGGATCCAGTATTGTTAGTGGATCCAGTGAGTAATCTACAGTACTCTCATGTTTTTCGGGTGTGGAGATGTCCTTTCCAAGATTTCATAGGGCATGTTATTTGTTCTTTAACCCAATTCTTCATCTTGGAAAACAGATACAAGGAAAATTCTGCAAAACATTTTGTAGTTTCGTTCTCATTATCTCAGTTTTTTCTCCTCTAATCCATGCGACCAATCACGGCCCATCTTCTCACCAGTTGTTGTTCTCACTTTTTTCTCTTATCTCCTGATAAGCTCTCGCAGTCTTCTCGCAACTCGACCAGAACGCTCCACCTCCTGCTCATGGGCTCCGCCCCCTTCTCCCTCTTGCCTTCTTCGACCGACAGAGCTCACTTCACTCTTGATGTTCTCGCCTTATCAACGCCACCTTTTTTTTTCAAAGCTGGCAGCGAGTGTCCCTCCCCCCTCTTCCCTTGTCCCACTTTTTCCAACATTGGAAAAAAATATCAAATATCTAGTGACACTACTGTTTACATAGCGTTTTGCGTAAGCTGTGCTCTTCCCTCAAAAATTTTCATTTTTCATCAAAATTTCTCTCACATCGAGGATGAACATTGAGATTGTGGGATCTCGGAGAGCAAGTACAGTATCAATGTTGTTCTCCTATCTTCATTCCACATCTCACATCCATCTCGTCCTGGCAAAGTCTCTAAGTTTCTAATCTTATTTAGAGCTCCCCTCCCAGCTAACCTAGTTTAGTTTTTTGTGCCCCGCTGCTCTTTTTCTTTGTACATCCTTTCTTCTATTCTTCTGCTCCTGCAACAAAACCGCTTCTTCCTTCTACTCCGGGATCGATTTCGGCATTGAACGATAATTGGGTTTTAGGTGCCTGAATGTCGACGCAGGGAGCTCCCAGAGCCCCCGTTTCGCCTCATCCCTTATCCAAATCTAATGGGTTTCTGTCTCCCATTGAGATATTTTTCTTAGAAAAGCTCAAGATAAATGAGAGGACGGGTAGATGGGAAAACAGAATAGAACACCAAAGAATTCTGAATTCATCCTTTTTTTCACTCAAATGTGTCTTCCTTCTACTCATACTTTCTCTACTTGCTCCATCCATATCTCACACTTCCATCAATCTACCCGATGCAGAAAAAGTTCAAAACTGATCCCCTTCATCTATTTACATCTCGTTTTGGCAGTATGATGTGTACATACTCGACTTTGCGGTAGGAAAAAGTTTTAAATTGTTTGCCCTTGTGTATCAACCTACCATAGTCTGTTTTCATTCCGTCATAAAGTCCTTTTCATCATCACCATCTTCATCGTTGTGTTTCTATCAATCTTGCATTGTAATTTATCGATTGTACCCATCATCATTCTCTACGTTCGCTTTTATCATCTATCCTTCCACCCGTAATTTGACGCTGTCAGTCGGCTGGCGCTTCTCCCCCCATTCCAAACTTCTCCCGCATGATGAAAAACTTTCTCGCCTCTTTTCTCATTTCCTTCTCCTCCTCATTTCTCTTTTCCACCATTAATACCAATTCCGAAGGTCTGATCTGATCCGAAACCCTCTCTTTCATGTCAGTGCAGTTCCAAACGGAGGTCATAAAAGGCCTATATCACTCTTTTTCAATTTCACTATTCGAACATTCTCCTCAATTGCTTTTTCTTCGTCTTTTGAATCTTTCCACATTGACCCACATTCATACCAATACAGTCGTTTTTTTTCAGCCATGACGGTGGGTAAACTATTGATTGGCTTACTTATACCGATTCTCGTCGCCACAGTCTTTGCTGAGGTATGTTTATTCAAGCGGCCAAATTTCAATGACTCGGAACGTTCGGAGAAAATCATTGATTGGTTGAAAAGTCATATGAGTGGCATTAGTACCAAAAGAAAAAAGAACTGAAAAGTTAGAGATAAGTATTTGATAAGGAAATTCTTTTGATGCTGTCCTTGTGATTTCTAATATGGTGTGATTAATGATTGTTCAGGATTTTGGGTTGAGAGAGAGATAGGTCGTAACAAACTAAAAGTTCGCAAAATTGGATAACTTTGATGAATTGCCCTTTTCCGTTTTGATCCTTTTGGCTCTCTGGTCTCTTGAGACTTCTGTTAAAATTGATTCCTTTTTTAGTATGTATACTAATAATATGTATTTGGCGGAGTAGAGTATGGGGTTATTAATCCGATTTCTTAGTAATTGCAAAAACCAATCAAAACTCAATCAGATTGCACACAAGAGCACAAGTACCTCTTGAGTACCATTGAGCACCATCGAAAAATTTCTTGCAGAGTTCCCCAGGAAGCATCAAGAGACATGAAAAGTTCATCCCAATGGTCGCATTCTCGTGCGGCTACCGTAACCAATACATGACCGAAGAAGGCACATGGAAGACCGATGATGAGCGTTACGCCACCTGTTTCTCTGGCAAACTTGACATCCTCAAGTACTGCCGCAAGGTGAGGCTGGGATGGGGGATTTCTGGAAAAGATTCTGAATGTGTAATTGAAACAACAAAAAAATAGGCTTCCAATTCTTTTAATTCGAAGTTTTTTTTCTTTTTTCTCTCTTTTCTTCTTTCAACTAATTCAATTGAAATTGGTGGGGTCCAAACAAAGACAGAAGAATCAAGAAAAGCAACATAAAGGCAGTCCCACAATCAAATTTTTAAACAACAAATCGTTCTTTGGCGTCTCCAGCTAATCCTACAGGGATGTTTTTGGGAATCTTCCAATGAAATGTTCCGGATGGCAAGAAACAAAACAGACATATATAGCAAAACGACTGAGGGTCCACAAATATTCTTCCTCGTGGTCTTTTTCTTCCAGAAAAGGCGTAAATTTGAGTAAGGACCTCCGGTCTGGGTAGTCCCAAGGGGACACAAAGGCAAAGTTTGAACACGCGACTCGATTCTCACACACGAGTTTCGGAAGTCGTCGTCGTACACCAACATATTTCGCAGTTTGTAAAATACTATGAGGGGACGAAAGTCAGCAGCGAACAAGTGACAAATCTCTTCTCTCTTTTCAGGCTTATCCAACCATGAACATCACCAACATTGTTGAGTACTCGCATGAAGTGAGCATCTCCGATTGGTGCCGCGAGGAGGGATCGCCATGCAAGTGGACTCACAGCGTTCGACCATATCATTGCATTGGTGAGTTGTTAATCCATCAAACACTGACCCATCACGTATCCCATTTAATCCATCTGGGGGCAGCGCCTATGGCACGGGAGAGTAGATTAGTTTTTTTCATCGCCTTTTCTTTATCTTTTCTTATAATGAATTTCTGGTTCGAATCAATCTTCAGTGAAAGGGAAAATAGAAAATTGATGCGTTTCGGTTTTGTTCTAAAAGGAAAAAAAAGTGAAAACCGAGAGTATCCATTGGGGACTTGCCAATGACACAAAACCGAACTTTTAATGGTTTTGTAGATGGAGAGTTCCACTCCGAAGCTCTTCAAGTCCCACATGACTGTCAATTCTCGCACGTCAACTCTCGCGACCAATGCAACGACTACCAGCACTGGAAGGATGAGGCCGGAAAGCAATGTTCTGGAAAGAAGGCCAAGGACACCAAGTCAATGATTGTTCGATCATTCGCCGTTCTTGAGCCATGCGCCCTCGACATGTTCACCGGTGTTGAATTCGTCTGCTGCCCCAACGATCGTAAGTGGAAGGCCATCAAATCTATGATAGGCTGTCATTAGATGATTCATCTAGACTAATGTCATGACAACCTACAACTGACTAGAATTGAGGGGACAGGGGATTAACGGAAAACATGAGAACATCAATCTTTTTTTGCAGAAACGAACAAAACTACGACCGAGGACGAAGACGACGACGATGATGACGATGACGCTTATGAGGATGATTACTCAGAAGAATGTAAGATAAAATGACCCATGGGGAAGTTAACACCCTACTGATTGCGTTTTCAGCTGACGAGAAGGATGAGGGAGAGGAGTCAAGCGCTCAGGACCCATACTTCAAGATTGCCAACTGGACCAACGAGCATGAAGACTTCAAGAAAGCTGAGACTCGTATGGATGAGAAGCACAGAAAGAGAGTTGAGAAGGTAAGATTATTGCAGATTTTGATAATCCTTTGGAAGAGTGTTGGAAGAGTATAGGATAAAGTCAGCTGATTTTTAATACCACTTAGTAAAATTGAAATGACTTGATCCATGATAATTCCAATTGCAACGTCATCCTCTTGTCGCTAGAAATTAATGTCAACCACACTCAATAAGAAACAACAAACATCAACACCTAAATTGTTCAGGTGATGAAGGAGTGGGGAGACTTGGAGACCCGTTACAACGAGCAAAAGACCAAGGATCCAAAAGGAGCCGAGAAGTTCAAGGCTCAGATGAACGCACGTTTCCAGAAGACCGTCTCTTCATTGGAGGAGGAGCACAAGAGAATGCGCAAGGAGATTGAGGCAGTGCACGAGGAGCGTGTTCAAGCTGTGCTAAACGAGAAGAAGAGAGATGTAAATCTAATTTTCCAGGGAGACATCTCATCAAATTGTATTGTTTCAGGCCACTCATGACTACCGTCAGGCTCTCGCTACTCATGTTAACAAGCCAAACAAGCACTCTGTTCTTCAATCCCTCAAGGCGTACATTCGTGCTGAGGAGAAGGATCGTATGCACACTTTGAACAGATACCGTCACTTGCAGAAGACCGATCCAAAGGAGGCCGAGGGATACAAACCAACTGTTCTCCACAGACTTCGTTACATTGACCTCCGCATCAATGGAACTTTGGCCATGCTCCGTGACTTCCCAGACCTCGAGACACACGTCCGCCCAATTGCTGTTGCTTACTGGAAGGACTACAGAGATGAGGTCACCCCAGACACTGACATTGAGGAGACCGACATCGAATCTCTTCTCAAGGAGGAAGACTTCAACAAGAAGTTTGTGTTAGGTAGTCATAACAATCACTAATTTCTAATTTTCAGCGCCAAGCTTGACGTGAAGGCGCCAACCACCGCCAAGCCAAAGCCAGCTGAGACCGACAACGCCAAGATTCTCCCAACCGAGGCTACTTCATCATCTGACTCTGAAGAGGAGGCTGATGAGTACTACGAGGATGAGGATGACGAGCAAGTCAAGAAGACTGACAAGTCGAAGAAGGTCAAGGTTGTTGACATCACTCCAAAGAAGCCAACCGAGGTGAGATAGAAGGCTTATGGATCCTTGAGCCAATTGTAATGATTTCAGATCAAGGTCACTCTTGAGCAAGAGAAGAAGTCACCAAAGTTGGTTGAGACCTCCGTTCAAACCGACGACGAGGAGGATTCATCTTCTTCATCTTCATCTGAATCTGACGAGGATGAGGATGTGAGTACAAATAATGGCCTAGAATAAGTGTCTTACTAATTTGTTTTCAGAAGAACATCAAGGAACTTCGTGTTGACATTGAGCCAATCATCGACGAGCCAGCCTCGTTCTACCGTCACGACAAGCTCATTCAAGACTCGGACGACGAGAGCTCCGCTTCCACCATCTTCCAGCCATACGTGCTCGCCTCAGCGATGTTCATCACCGCCATCTGCATCATCGCGTTCGCTATCACCAACGCTCGTCGCCGTCGCGCCATGCGAGGATTCATCGAGGTCGATGTCTACACCCCAGAGGAACGTCACGTCGCTGGAATGCAGGTCAATGGATACGAGAATCCAACCTACTCCTTCTTCGACTCTAAGGCTTAATTGCCCCCGTTCCCTCTCAAAATCTCACACACACCTCTAAATATACTCTACCGGACTGACAAAACCCCCCAAAAAACCAACTTGATCCATTCTCCAAATCTCAGATACAAATTTAACTTTTTTCTTTTTCGAGCAATATCCCAAAAATTCATTCCCCCTCTCTTTCTCTCTATCAAACCATCCATCAAAAAATAAAAAGTTGTGAGTGTTAAACAAAAAATCATTACCCATACCAAAAAGTAATCATCAAAATGAAAACTCTGTCCCCGTAGTTGAATCGTCATAAAAACCACCAAAAAAGAGAGCACATTCTCCTGATTGGTTGTGCTTGTTTTTTTGACACAGATCTATCCGTTTCACACGAACTATATAAATTGAATATGATTCACGTGTTTAGTATTCGGAAGCACCATCCTCCCCGTTCTGTACACCAATCACACACCTTCTTTATACTTCTTCTTTTCTTCTTCTTTCTACCACTTTAATCTTTTTTCTCTTCTGTCATTTATTTTTTCTTTAATGAAAACACTTTCTTCTAACCCACAACACCACCCCGATCTTGAAATACACCCTATTTCTTGTGATAGTCCTATTATGCACACTTCTCTCTTTTCCCTCTTTCTGTCTCTCTCTCTCTTTCTATTTTCGAATTTCTTCCATTCCCAGTTTATATTATGGAAAAGAAACATTTGGAAAATTGTATTAATAAAGAAGTTCGTGGAAAATATAGAACTGTTGAATCTCACTCCTCTCCCTCTTTTTTTCTAAAATTGTTTCCAGAAACTTCTATGTGTTGTTCTTTTCTCGCTCGTTCAAATGTCGTGAACTTCTATGTGTTGTTTTCTTGAAATTAGTGCAATTTTCCGAAATTGTCCCGGCCTGGAGTTAGGAAATTCTGGACAACCTGGCCCGACACGTTGCAAGTATGCATTTTCGTGGCAACACCTGTCGTCGCCAATTCAAGAAATGCAGTTTCTTGAAATGATCTGGAATAATAAATTTTGAAAATCTATCAAAAATAATATAACTAATACATAGATCGTGTTAGATTTGAAAAAAAGTTTGATCCGGGGAAAATTATTTGATTTGAATAATTTTTGAGAGTGTGATTCGTTTTTTTTTCGAGGAAAAAATCAAAAATAACAATTAAATAAAGTTAATGGAGCGGAAATGATATAAAACGAAACAACACTCGTCATGTAATTTGTCACACTTGAAGAAAAGCAACATAAAGGCAGTCCCACAATCAAATTTTTAAACAACAAATCGTTCTTTGGCGTCTTTTGTCACACTTCAGCGAGATGTGCAGAAATTTATGCGAAATCAAATTTTCAAAAAAAATCTAACAAATAGTGCGAACTCTAAAAATTGCCAAAAAATGCAGTAACATATTAGACATCGTCTATTTCCGGAAGCTTTTAAATTCTCGAAGAATTATGAAGTTACTACCGAAACTTGAAATTTCAACCACCCTCTTGAAAATTTCGGAAACGAAAAATTGAGAAATTTAAGTTTTGGCGGGAATTCATTCAAAAATCAAGCATATTTGATCAAAAAATGTACTTTTTCATTATTTTCATGCAATTACTATTTTATAGCATTCTAACGAAAACCGTACATTTTTATTTCGACAGGTCATTCAAGAGTGATTGTCATGTGCAAAAAAAATCAATACATTTTTATTGTTCAAGAACACAAAAATGAAAACACCACGGCAGTATAGAAAATTTAAAAAAAAACTTAGACAAAAAGAAACAATATTCATATCTTAAACCGATTCAGAGAAAATAAAATCCATTGAACGTTTAGTATTGGTCGTTGTTGAATGCATCGATCCCGGTCCCTGAAAATCGGAGATTTTTTTTGAAAGTTGTGGAACGAAATCAGTTAATTCGACTATTTGTAATTAATAGTTGAGGTTTATCTAGTTCTGGAGAAACTTCAAAAGTCTTACCGTTTGTTGTAATGGGACGGTTTTGTATTCCTTTCCAGTGAAGGGATAGTTCTGAAAATATTAGGTTGAGCAAAAAGTCTTTGTAATTTTTTTTGAACCGTCATATCTCAGCTTTGATTTAACTTTTTATCATTTTGTTTTTTCTATATTGTAGTACCAGTTTTGCATGCTTAAAAGATTTGTTAAAGTTACCGACGGCGTTCATAAAGACCCTCCCGTTTTGACGGATTCACTAAAACCATTTCGTTGCGACTTAGCACATTCTCGGCTTACTATGAAACGTAGCACTAATTGGGTTGAGAATATTATCACTGGGGACGAGTAGAAAAAGACAAAGGGTCCCGGCCGAGGAAACCGCTAAAACGGGCACCGAAGGAGAAATTCACGAGAAAAGGCTATATTTTCCATTTGGTAGAAAAACTTCACGAGAAAAAGTTATATTTTCCATTTGGTAGGAAAGTGAAGGCGTTATCTTCAGAAGACTTCTTCTAGACGGCATCACTATCAAGGAGGACCTCAGCAGCACTCAAACGAAAATAGCATTCCAGGCTTATCAATTAAATTGCCCGAAAAATTCCAGCTTGTTGATGATTCATGACAGAGCAAGACCACCAACTACTTTGAAAACCCGTCAGAAGCTCGAGATACTCGAAGTCAAGATCTTTTGTCATTCATCGTATTTACTAGACCTGGCCCTAACTGAATAGCAAATAATCCGTTCCTTGAAAAATCTCCTTGTTAGGCAAAAGTTCCATGATAGAAAAGATGTAAAAAAGGATGGATGACGTTTTCGCTTCCCAGTCTACCGAGTTCTACGCTAATGGAACCGCTCCACTTCCATCGCGTTGGCAAGTAGTCATGTACACTATTGGTGAATATATCACACATTGAATTCCGTGTTCTTTGAATAAATTTTGTTCCGAAAAAATTCAAAAAATTACAAAGACTTTTCGCTCAACCTAATAATTTATTTTACAGCCACCAACCACTTCTTTTTTATTCTCTAGCTATATGAAACTAATTTTGGTTTTCATCGAAACTACCCAAATTCTGTGGTTTAATCCATACTTCTCGACGCTGAAGAATGAAATCGAACACGTAGACAATGACCATTAGGAACTCAAGCACCTGAAAAAACCAAACTCGTCAAATGCGAGTTACATTCTCTATTTTACCGCTGCAGCAATCCACTGTCCCCGAATATGTCCCCGGCCTCGTCCTTGATAATTCACTTCTCGATCGTTAGTCAAAATTGCCATCCAAGTGCCCAAGATTCCGGCAATAAACATGAAGACAATCCCCAGAATCGCGTAAACCTTTTCCTGAAGACACAGAATTGAGAAGTCCACTTTATTCGAAGGAAGTCGATAATTTCGATGTCATTTTCCAACAAAAAACCTATTTTTGAGCCAGAAGCAATTTATACATATCCTCCGTTTTCCTATGCATAACAATTAGCGAACGGGGTAATCACCCTTTGTTCAAAAAGAAGAGCAAGTCTAGAACTCACCATTGGTATGATGACATGAGGAATCCAACGATGAGCGTTCAAAGCGAATCCCAGAAGAATTAGTGCACAAAATATGGAGAGTCCGAGGAAGATCACAAGAACAAAGAGCTGAATTTAGAAAAAATGGAAATTTAAAAAATTTAAGATTATATCGGACTTGTCCCATCGCAGTATAACCAAAGACATTCATGATCATTGTACACGCATCTCCACCACATGTGATTTGTACCAGCCACTGAAGTACGAAAAACATGACCTGGAAATTTCTGATTTTTGAATGAATCATCGAAGGTCCCAAACCAACTGAAACCATCGAAGAAGTCCCATTGGATGTCCCCACATGTTTGGTGTACACTCCACCGGCTCCGTCTCCATCACTTCAGCCTGCAATTATTTAGAACTCTTTTTTCCTAGAACAAAAATCAAATCCGGTCCTTCATCCCTTTACAGTAGCTGGCAATTCTCAACCCTTATAATTTTCTCTCTCAAGATATTATGTTCCCTCCTCTCGACAAAAAAATTATACATGTACGTGTGGGTGTGCTCACGAGGATTTGTTTTCCAGGAATCGAACAAAACGGAGCGGAGCTGCGTGCGCAGGTGAAATTGCCAAAACCTATATGATTATAATCTCCCAATAAAAAACGGGCGCACGGGGTACACGATTTGGGTTGGGTGTGCTGGGTGCCGGGTGAAAAAATGAAAAGAAGTCTTGATTGAATATTTTGAGAACAAATGTGACAGAAAAACACTTACTCCTTGAATTGGAGGTCTCTGGATAGAAGTTGTTAGAATCGGTGCAGGTTTATAGACAGTCTGTTGGTACATGGGGGAGCTTAGATAGTCTCGACTCGCACGGAACCTCTGCTCATTTTCAATATAGGCCTTGTCCTTACCGTACATGGAGGCCATGATTCTAAAAAAAACTAAATGAAAGGGGTAAAAATTAAATTTGACAGAAAGTAAAAAATTTAAAACATATAGTCAGGAGAGTTTCATAATAAGCGACAGATGGCATATTGAAATTGACTTTGAATCAATATGATTGTTGAGAGGGAGGAATTAGAAGTTCTGTTTCTTATCTCTATAATTCCCCTTGTTTATTGCAGCACTATTATCTTTTATTGATTCTTTAATGACCGATAATTTGGTAGCATCTCTTGTTAATAAAAACGGCCATGTTTGTATAATGATTAGCGCACTGTGTTGATGTTTCTGGCTGTAAAACTCCACCATCTGATTTCGAAAAAATACTGTAGTCTCTGACAAAAATTTTTGTTTAACTAGTTTTTCATAATCGAAAGAAGAAACCGTGTTTCCAGCTGTCATGTGAGCCAAGGGGGTAGTCTGAAAACAGTAAAAACGTGAATTTCAGCTGGTTCTCTTTCCGACCCCCCCCCCCCAAGAATTGTAAGCATGTGTGTGGTGGCTCTGAGTCGTATTTTGTTGGCGAAGCGGAACGTATTCATATGATAAAATTAATTCTGAAACTTGTGATTAGCTACCAAATATGGGCATCGTGAAACGTGACAGCTGATGTAGCATATTCTGAGTGAGTTCATTTCATTTTTCAAATAGTATCCTGCCTACGTATACATGCAATTCTTTATAGATCCCGTTTTCAAGACAATATCTGAAATTCAATCTCCAAAAAAACCTATAAAACTCGACGTCGACATCCGCCAACCATTCCCATTCTATTTCCAGCGGGCTCAACCGAAAGATCCAATCAAATACTGAAAAAGATTAATTCTTCAAGAAAAAGAATTGGTTCAACATATTCTTTATTTTTAGCGGCGCCCAAGCAGCATTTACTTGAGCACATTGAACTTGTACTTCCTTAGAACGTTTGCTTGGTAGGTGGAAGGAGGAGCAACTGGTTAGAAGCGGGTTCTTTTTTCTTCCTCTCATAATCTCCTCATGCATTATTTTTCATCCCTCTCTTTTTTCGAAAAAAAGAACTTTCGACTCATACACGTTTCTATGACATAGACAGAGTTCTAGAAAGAGAGGAAGATAGAGCTGAAAAAGGGCAGCAGGTACATCTTCTCATTAATCTCTTTTGCTTGACTGTTCTCTGTTAATCAATTATTCCACTCGGAGAAGTTTTAGAAACTTTTCTCACTTTTCTTTTTCGTCTTCTATTTTCTCTTTTTTATTCTTCTGTCATCTTCTATTTGAAGTTTTCAGAAATTCATTTAACCTACTTCCTGGCCTCCAGATACTGCCACCACCTCTGTAGGTCAACATTTCTCGCCGTCTACCTTCTAGCTGTTTCCCGAACCCGCGCAAGCCCCCGCCCCTTCCTTGCTCCGCCTGGATGAGACTAGTCGTGTTCTGTTATAGGGATTGGGTTTAGGCGCTGTTCTTTTTCTTTTTCTTTTCCTTCTTGTACTTTTCTAAGTTTTTTGAGCCTTTCTTCTGATCTTCTCAATCTTCCGTTTTGCAGGAGAAAAAACAGCATGTCCGACTCTCCGAAAGAGTTTGTTCGCGTTCGTGTTCGCAGCACTTTTGAGCTTGCCGATCCACTTTGTGAGCTTCCACCAGATCCGGATTGTAAGATTCTCTCACCAAACACCATTCGCCAAAAGCAGAAGGAAATTGATGATTTGTTGAAGAATGCAAAGTGTGAGGATGGGATGTCGATGGACTCGATTGCCACCTACATTCCATCAAAAGCGACTTTGAAAAAACGTGAGGAGGAAGCAAAGGCTGTTGCTGCTGCTGCCGAGGAAGAACGATTGGCGAAGATTGCTGCACAAATCGCATATCACGAAGCTGCTATTGCCAGCTTGAAGCGTGGATCAATCGAGGAGGTACAGCTGGACAAGGAACTTGAGAAACTCTCTATTACTCGTCCGACTTCGGTCTTCGCTGAGGATAGAGTCATCAACTCTGAACAACACACTCGTTCAAACTGGGCGTCTCGTAATTCATCTGACAGCATCACGATGGTTACATCGCCAACCATCGGAGCACTGGCTGCTGCTCCACCAGCGATGGGAGCTTTGATGGGAGCTCCGCCAGGAGTTGGTGCAATGGTCGTTGCTGCTCTTCAGCCAGGACAGGCTCAAGTAAAACTAATGGAGGGTGGAGAAGCGGATGACAGTTCTCTTAGCGATGTGAGTTTGGCTATGGATGGGATTTCACTACCAAAAATATTTTGAAATAATTTAATTTCAGGATTTTCAAATTGTTCACGACGAGTTCAAACAACCGGATGTCATGGAGAAAGCTTGCAAGAAACAACGCTGAGTACAACACCAATAATTGATCATTTTCCAATCTCTTTGGATTTTTCAAAACTCTCCCTTAGTATATTTTTTTCGATCTCCTGCTCTTAGTTTTTCAATCTCTGATCTTTTTTGTTCCCAATCCCCATTCATCCCCCTAAATCACTGCAAACACGTTTTTTGAATGTGAAATTTTTATTTCGGAAAAAAGCCATAAACTAATAACAAAACACAGTGTTTTGCACGAATTTACAGAGAGTAGGTGCCGGTCAAAGCTTAAAAAGCGACGCAGGCAGTTGGGACCTTGACGGCCTCGACGAACGAGACTGGGTAGTCGTTGAGCTCGAGTGGTTGTTGGCGAGACTCCTTCAAGAGACGGCTGGCATCTCTGTTGTGACGTGGCAAGCAGGTGAAGCGAATTTTTCTTTGTTGAGATTGCTCGGCCTCGTATCCACGGCGGCACTCGGCGACTGGCTCAACGGAGAAGCAGATGCGGTGGGAGAACTCCTTGATTTGAGTCTTCTCGACGATCTCTGCAATTTCAAAGAACTTGATATGGTTCAGGAGGTGGTGTGGAAACTTACGGTTCTTCTTTTCGGACTTCTTGTTGCTCTTCTTGGTGTATTGTGGCTCCTCATCGTTATCATAAGACTCGTCGGACTCGTCGGACTCCTCCTCATCTCTCTCGTACTTTCTGTAGTTCTTCTTCTCGGTAAGACGCTCCTCCTCGGTCTCGCATTCCTCGTTCTTGAGAAGGTAAGAGCGGTGGAACTCCTCCATGTCTTCGGTCTCGGTGTTGTCAGCGGTCATGAACTCGTTGGTGGACTGAAAATTGTAATTTAGAAGACAAACTTAGCTTTTTTCTTGCTTACCTCGTCGTCGTTGTTTCCGCAAAGTCCGCAAAGTTGTTGTTGGCGGCTGTAGGATGGGAGTTGGGTTTTGATGGTGTATCCATCGAAGCGAACCTCTCCTTCTGGGAGCTCAATAACGATGGCGGACTCTCCGAGTCTCTCGATTTGGTAGTCAACGAAGTCCTCAGATTGGATCTTCTTTCCGTCGACCTTGACGCGGATTTCCTCATTTTGGAGTTGGGCAACAATCTCTTGCTCTCCACGGAGAACCTTGATCATCATCTCCTCGGAGTTCTTCTCGACCTTCTTGGAGAGAACAGCGAAAGTTGGCTCCTCAGAGCAGTCCTTGGCGATGAGGGAGTAGCAGGTGGTGAGTGGGGTCTTGTAGAGAACATCATCAAAAGTGCGGATTTGGTTCTTTTGGACCTTGCACACAGCTCCGGAAGCCTCGGTGTATTGGTACTTGGTGGCACGTTGAGCGATGGATGGAAGGTGGACACGTGGGATTTGGGTGTTCTTCATCTCGACACGTCCTTCTGGGGTTTGGACGGTTACGTTAACGTATTGACGGGAAATTGGCTCGACGGTGAGTTGAAGGACGACGCGGTTTTCCTCGTTGTCCTCTGGACGGCTCGAGACGGTCCAGTAGTTGTAGGCCTTGACAAGGTCGAAAAGGCGGCTCATGGTCTCTTCGTTTTCCTTGGTGAACTTGTAGTCGGCGACCATGTTGACTTGGTTGAGACGGGCAGCCTTGATCAAGAGCTCGTACTCTGGCATTCCTCTGACTTCACGCTCCATGTTGCGTTCGTACTTCTTCTGTTCCTTGGATTGTTGGAGTTGGGCGTTGATGTTAAGCTCGTTCTTCTTTTGGGATCCCCAGGTGGAGGTAAGAGAGAGTTGAACCTCACGGTGTGGTTGCTCACGGAGTTGACGGAGGGAAGATGGCATTTCTGGGCGGATAGCAAGAAGTTGGGAGCGGAGGGTCCAGTCCTTCTTCTCCTCAGCGAAGATTGGGGAGCGGTTGACCTCAACGGTCCATTGGCACATGCGGACTTGCTTGTCGCAGACAGTGGTAAGCTCGGATCTCATTTGGTAGTCACGTGGGGCCTCGAACTTGAGGGTGATAAGGCTCTTGTATCCTTGCTCCTTTTGGATGTTCTTGATCATCTTGGAGAAAGACTCACGGCGGTTCTCGGATCTCTCTTGCTCAAGCTCGAACTCCTTCTCGAAGATCTCGTTGCTGATCTTGATCTCGGAGAGTGGAGTTTTCTCGAGTGGGGAGGCGGTCATGCGGAAGACGAATTCAGCTGGGCGGTTCTTGTTCTCAACGGTGACCTCGAAGTCTTGCTCGGCAAGAAGCCAGTTCTCGACGGAGTGTTGGCGGAGGATGTTTCCACGGGTGGAGAACTCGAGTCCAAGGTAGTTCTCGGTTCTCTCGACCTCTTGAGTCTTCTGTTCCCATTGTGGGACCGCGACGGTTCTCTCCTCAGCCTCGATGTACTCGAACTTGGAGAATCCTGGGTGGCGGAGGAAGACGACTGGGCGGGTGGAGAGGGAGACGATCGACTTTTGGCTCTCTGGAACGATAACCTTGTAGACGAGCTCGAAGTTCTTCTTCAATCCAGCGACAGCTTGGATCTTGAGTGGAGTGTAGGCGCGGATGGATTGGAGGGTCTTGATTCCTTGCTCGAAGAGTGGAGTGAACATTCTCATCTCATAAACGTGGGTGGCAGCAACCGATGGGCGGGCCTCGACGGTCAAACGGAGCTCAGTTCCGTCCATCTCGAGGGAGATTTGTCCTTCAGCAGACATGACAGTTGGGATCTTTCCGGAGATGGTGAGTGGGAGTCCAAGGGTGGTTGGGAACTTGCGGACAGCCTCGTAGAAGAAAGCGGCGTGGTGGGCTTCGAATTCGGAGTCCTTGTTGAGCACACGGCGAATCGCGGAGAACTCAATCTTTCCGCTGCTGACGAATCTCTCAACAACATCCTCAACAAGTTGGGAGTCGATTGGGAGGACGGCGAAGTCCATATCCTTGTAGCGAAGGTAGATCATGGCGTAGGCATTCTTCTCGTTGCGGGTGGATGGACGGGCACGGATGTTCATCTTTTGGGCGAGCTCCTTAAGCATTCTGATTCCGGTTTGGATGCGGCGTCCGCGGACAACAGTGGTGGACTCTTTCTCGAGAGATTCGAGCTTTTGAAGGGTCTTGTAGATGTATTGGTCCATGTTCTCTTGAGAGAATCCAACTTGAGCGAAGTACTTGTTCCAGTTTCCTCCGAAGACGGCGTCAAGGGAAGCGTGGAGGTCCTTTGGAAGGACAGAGTTCTTCTCGAAGATGGCGGCGAAGTCGAATTGAGCTCCGGAGAAAGCATTTTGCATGAAGAGTGGGAGTTGGGCGTATGCGGAGGCGATCATCTGCTCTTGTGGTTGGTAGCGGGTAAAGGAGAGAACCTTAGCACACTCAGTGGCAACACGTTGGTAGCATGGGTTGGTGGATTGGGAGAATTGACGGATCATTTGGTAGGTAAGAGCGGCAACTTGTTGGTTGGACTCCTTCTCCATTTGAGAGACGACTTGAACGAGGAGTGGCTCCTCTGGGCGGGTGTGCATCATTCTCCAGAGAGCAAGAATGCGGATTTCTGGCTCGTATTGACGGTTCTTGTAGATTGGGAGGAGGACTTTTTGGATCTTGCGTGGCATGGAGTCCTTAAGAAGTCTGAGGGCATCAATAGCCTCCTTGCGGACTGGGAGTGGTTGGCGCTTGTCGACAATGATGTCGTTGAGCTCGTTGACGGAGATATCAAGTCCAGCGTTTCCGATGGTCTTGAGGGCAAGAACCTTCTCGTAGGTGGTCTCAGCATCTTGGAATTGCTTCATGAAGGTGCGGAAGAACTTGTCCTTCATCTCACGCTTGTCCTCACGGATGAGTGGGCGGAGGCTTCTAATGTCGACGACTCCACGGACAACGGATCCAGTGGCGAGCCAGACGGATTGGCGGATGATTTGGTTGGTCTTGGCAACACGGGATTGGGCGAACTTGAGAAGGGACTCGGCAATGCTTTGGGATGGGAATGGAGTCTCTTGGATGGACTTGATAAGCTTGGCAGCCTCGACTGGGGTGATGTCCTCGTTCTCAATGTGGTTGAGAAGGTGTTGGATGGTGTTCTTGGTTCCAGAGATGGCGAGAGCAGACTCAATCATGGATTGGATCTAGAAATATTTTTATATGTTTGAAACGAAATTTTCAGACAGCTTACCTTTCTGTCGGCCTTGGCGTAGATCTTCTCGTGGATCTCCTTGAGTTGAGAGATGGAGGTGGTGCGGAAGATGCGGACAAGACGGGCGAGGAAATGAGCGGTCTCTGGCATGTTGTTCTCGACCTCTTGGACTTGCTCGGTGATGGTTTTGATCAATTGGATCTTCTTGTCAAGTGGGAACTTCTCGAATGGAGAGAACTCAGCCTTGTCTCCATTCTTGTAGAAGTCCTCAACAAGTTGTTCCCAGCGGGAAGAGTAGATGATGTCTTCCTTCTCTCCGTTGGCCTGGAAAGTTTTTTTTGAATTTAACAAATAACTTGTAAAAGTGCATACCTTCTTGATGTGGCTCTTGATCGAGTGGCTCTCCTCGAGAACAAGCTTGGATCGAGTCTCGGTCTTCATGACTTCTTGTCCGTTGACATTGACGGTGTAGCGGGAGCGAACCTCGGACTCCTTGAGCTCGTTGTTCTCCATAACGTAGGTGTAGACAGTTTGTGGGCGGATCATTTCAGTGTCCTTCTCGCATTCTGGGCACTCAGAAGAGAAACGGAGTCCATAGGCGATCTCGGAACGCTCGGTGCACTTGTCGAAGTTGACAGACTTGGTGATGATGGTCTTCTTCTGCTCACGAACGACGGTGTAGGCAACTTGGCAGTCTCCTTCAAGGGTCTTCTCGTTGGTAAAGAAAGAGGTGTTCTCCTCGAAAGAAGAAGACTCCTTTCTGTAGGATTCCATCTCTTCCATCTCGTCTCTTGGGGCAACTGGGTTGAAAGAGATCATGTTGAGAACGGCTCTCTTCATGTTCTTGGACCACTCGGCGTCTTCCTTCTCGAATTGGATCTCGGAGATTAGTCCATTTCTAAGTTGGGCACGGATTGGGCGCTCAAGCATGTGCGTGTACTCCTCGGAAAGCTCACGTGGCTCCATTGAGTTCAAAGCTGGCATTTGCTCGGACTCTGGGAGGTGGGAAGCGGCGAGACGGATGTTGACGAGTTGGAAGTGGATGTAACGGTCATTGTCAGATTGAATACGGGCACGGGCAGAAATACGGGTTTGGGATTGCTCAGAAGACTCGGTTGGGAGTCCGGAGAGGACAAGTCCGTCGAGTTTGTAGTGGTAGTCAGTCTCTGGCTCGAAGCTACGCTCGAAAGCTGGGGAGGAGGCAAGGGCCAAGGCCACAAGGGAGGCGATGATGATCGACCTCATGGCTGAAACCTGTATTCTCTGTCTCTACGGCTCCCTTAAATACGAGTCGCAATTGACATCTACAAAATTGACTTCTACCTTATTCCAGGTCGTTTTAGCGCACTGATAAGATCAGGGATGGACACATGCACGCGTCCGACGGCTCAAAGTGTGACTCTTATCACCAGAAAATTGCAACATTTTCGGGAAGCCCTGTCCATCGAATCAGATTGAAGGGGTTTTGAACGTGTCCCTGAAATGTCGAAATAAGGTAATGCAGTTTGGTCAAATCGCACTTTGATACTCATGACTTTTATGATGAGGTGATGTGGCTAATATGGTGAAATGAAACGCCAAGAGAAGTGAAACTGCCTGCAATGAAAGGAAAAAAGTGGTAAAATCGAGAAAATATAGTGTTCAAATCAATTGCAGATGGAATACTCGAGAGTTGGAAAAGAGCAATTTCGGGATCGTAGGGAAAATATGGATATTTGAAAAGTGAAAATTTAGAAAGCTAGAACCTCCGTTAAGCATTTGAATCAAAGAAAAGAATATCAAGAAAAGAATTTGATGAGCCCAGGCAAAAGAGCAAGCATTTTTACTAGAAAAAATCTTTATGTCGCTCATCATAAGTTTGAGGAATTTAAATTTGATCTACCCTAATAAAATTTCGATTTGCCTAGGAAATCTACTTTCTTTCATTTTTTTGTTATTTACTGGAAACGCAAAAAATGCAAGATGATAAGTCCGAAAGTTATTAATGGTTTTAGGTTACCGTAGTTGCCGCTGTGAGACCTTCCACAGCTCCGATTTCTTGTTCCAGAATAATATCATAACTGTGTTTCCCTGGAATTCTCCTGAAAAAATTTACAAACCAATAGACGCAATTTGAAATTATTTTTTTCTTTGATGTGATGGGTTCTTTCTCAAACACCTACAGTGTTACCAAAACAATGTAGCTCGTTTTTCATCCAGTTTTTTTTGCTTCATCCCCTCTATTGATCACTTCCTGTTTCATACAGGTAGTTCAGGTTTGTTTCTCGGCTTTTGCTTCAAGTACACACTGCCACGAGAACTGATATCACGCTAGTTGTTGAAAATGACAACGCCGCCCGAAGATCGGCTGTGTGTGCGCACTTGGCGAATCCGCAACACACGGTAGAAGGAGAAAAGATTGGATAGTCAAATGACCCAGAAATGTCCGTGGAAGGATATAGCCCTCCTTCGACGACGTACGGAATGGCGGCGTTTGGCGCACAACACAAAACGGCCCGATCGCGGCGTCTCCCCGTCGGAATTCAGATGTAGGACAGTACTCTCTAGTCAGTGAGCGAGTGAGAGGGCCCTTTCCGCAAAAACACTCCCTTTTCTTCCTATTATTTCCTTCGCTTTTCTTTCTTGGGTAATTCACTTTCGGTTATCATTCTACACTTGTTGATGTCAGGATACTGACATCCAATCCGTCGGTGGTTATGAGGCGGCGAGAATGTCTCAGTTTCATTCCTCTGGACAAGAAGGGTTTATCTCCGCAATATACACCTCCAATTCTGAATTCATCACTTGAACTGTACAGTTTCTGATTTCTTGTCGTCACCTTTTGGTATGATTCTATCAAGCTTTGTGATTTATTAGTCTATCTTGGCTTTTAAGAGTTTCTCTTTGACTTTTGGAATTAGCTTAATTGTTTTCCAAATTTTCCGGCCACTATTGGAAGAATTTAGGCATTTTTTTAATGATTTGTGATGATCTTTATTAAACGTCTTGTGCAAAACCTGTTCAAATCTTAATTCAAACTCGAATCAGTAAAATTGTATAATTAGCTTGTAGGAAGAAGCTACAATAATTTAAAGCATTCTAAATTCAATATGCAGATTTTTCACTCATTAATCTACTCAAGCTACTTTTGATTATCTTACAGGCAGTCGTTATGAAAGTATAGGTCTTTATACTGAATCTAATTCGACGACTGCAAAAAGAGGTGATAACACAACATAAAATAAGGAACCAGTCTAATAATGAAAAGCATGCATTCATTTAATAGATGAGCAGATTATTTTGATCTTTTGACGTTTGTTTGTATTCTATTGTAATCCCATCTCCCTTAATTTTTAACACTAATGCCCATATCGCCGTTAATTGTCGGGATTAGAAAAGAAACAGTCCTAGACGTTGACTTTCTCCCGATTCACCCAGTTCGGATTTCCTTTCTCTCTCCCCTTTCAATATCTTCCACCCCCACGTCAGTTTCGTAATCCCTTTCAAATTTCGCTATCGTCACTCTGACCCCAATATCCTTGTCGCTCATTCGTCTCTGATCTGATCTTCTTCCACAACTTTTTTGTTCCATCGGATTGTCGTTGTCTCGTCAAATTATCCGAAACGTACAAGAAATAGATAGCCCTCTTCTCACCATGTCGTTGTCGCCAGTAGCATCCCGGGAATTTTTATGAGATGCGAAGAAGCGGAGAATTGGAATTCGTGAACCAAAACCAATTGTGCATAACGACCTGATCTAATCCGGAATGTATGGTTTTGACAGACGTCTTGTGTCCGATTCTCGAGACTTTCATTCTTCCATCTTTACTTTTTCCGATCCATTTCTAGGTATTGATGAAGCTTGCCAAGTCTGTTTTCCATTGACATTATCGGAAGTCAGTGGTTTCCTCGGAACACCTAATATGTATCCTTTTGTCCTTTTCACGGCCCGCGACATTCTTGTCATTTACCCAAAAGTCGGATCGGGGGTCTAATTGAGTTAATCGGTTGCAAAACGATAGCCGTTCCGAGTGGCCTTCACTTATACAGTTTTCGATTCTTTCCTTCTGTCTTCAGGACACCTTCCCTACTGCCGCCTCATTGGGCTCAACAACAATCTACTTTTCCAATCTTTTTTGGCGAAGACGACGAAGACACCGACCAAATGATTTCTAACAGGATGTATTCACCGGTGTGTTAATGATGCCGCCCACCATTCATCCGTTTCCTGAGGAGTCAGTCTGCTTACCGTTGGTCCATTGATTATATTTCCAATGGAAAGTGCATACCATCTCGTTTTTTCTTCTAACACTTTCTTCATGTGAATCATCCCTAGTAACACGTTTTCATCCAAGAAACATGTTCTTGGATGGATGAAAAAAAAGTGACGCCATTGATTATGAAAAATGACTTGGAACCAAATGGATTTTGTTCATGTCATTTTTGAAGCTAGCCTGTTATTTAGTAGATTGATTTTTGTGAAAGATGTAATGGAAGGACCCCCTAAATGTCGATTGCTACTTTGAAACTTTTAGTAAAAGAGCCTAACACAGTAAATTGGACTTAATTTTGCTAAGCTTTTATACATGATATCAAACAAGTGTCAATTGATAAATTGTTTGTGATATTATGATGAACAATTCATTACTTGCCGCGCCTTCGGCGCTTCAATCAGCTGGCTGGTGCGCTTTCGGCTCGATTCAACCTAGTTTTTTACCTGCTTCGTAGCTTTGCTTCTCACGTTTTCTTAAAAGGTCACGTAAATCTATATTTAGTTTTCAAATGTTTCAAAAGCGGGCAAAGTGACACGGGGACCAGCAAACCTCTATAGCGTTTTATAAATAAGGCAGATATTCAACAGGTCACGATACAAAAATTTTTTTCACGGTCTGAGAGCAATTTTTCAGGTTAATATGGTTAGAATTAGAATGTAACCACCTAAGCATAATGTTAAATATTCTCAAAAAAAAATATTTTCGAAAAAATTCCCAACATCAGAATGCTTAAAAATACTTAGATATATATTGTTGATATTCTTGTTTTTGTTGTAATAATGTAACTTTGATGTTGATCAAACGGTTCTAGTGTTTTGTGTGATTTTTTCTGTACTTCGAATCCAATTAGCTAGAAATCCCCAATCATTAAATTTGCAACAATTTGTTGTCTGAACGTGTTCATAACAACCGTCGTCGTCAAAAACCTCTCCTTCACACTAAAATATACCGTCGAGTGGACGAGTGCAAGGCCAGAATTTCTTCAAAAGTTATTAGAGAAAGAGAAATCCAGTGACTGTCCACACCCGCCCTCTCTCTCCTTTTTCCCACACCCAAAGAAAAGGCAAGACAAAAAAGAAGAAGCGCTGCCGGTTTTCGTTCGGGCACCCGCCAACGTTTCTCACTTGTTTGCGTCTATGAATTCCATCAAATAGTATAAAGTTCCAACTTTGGTTTTTTCAAAGCATGGGTTGAACTTTTTTGTTCGGTTTCATTTTTTGAATTGAATCAATTTTTGATCTTATCTCAACTGTTTAATATAATATCATAGGCTGGATTTCTGACATCATTCCCATAATTGTAATAGCCGCTTCTTACACTTTGATTCGCATATTATAAATAGGCACGGTACACATTCAACCGTTCCTCTCTCTTAATACTTTTTGTTATTGTTTCTCATTTCCACCGTGTATCGTGTCCACTTTGACGGAAAAGCGATAATAATCTTATTTAATATTATCCCATCTCTTCATTCGATGATTTATCCTCTCATCTCCACCTCATATTTCCTTTCCTCCCACTTTATTCCAATCCAATTTTAACTACCTAATTCCAACAATTTTGCAGATGAAGTTCAACATACTTCTCCTATTGCTTGTGGGGGCCTGTTTGCCATCGTTCTCCCAGGAGATCAAGCCAAAGTCGGAACTTCTGCCAGGAGACGAAGCACCAAAAGATCCAGAAGTCGCATTTGCTGAAGGTGAACCATTTGAACTCACTGATGCACTAGACACACCAAAAAATGGCACTGTTCCGGTCCCTGAGCCAGAGCCAAAGCCAGAGCCAGAGCCAGAACCAGAGCCAGAACCAAGTCCAAAATCTGAGCCAGAACCAGAACCAACTCCAGAGCCAGAACCAGCCATCAAATTCGACAACATCGAGTCTGAAGACTATGGAGATGTCGCTGAAGCTGTCGTTACTCAACCAGATGAGCTCAACACCGAGGTCATCGAGCAACTTGTAGACACTTTCTTGAATACCGGATCAATTGCCCCAGTAAGATATTAAGCAAACTACATTTGGTACTATGGCATTCTTACAGAATAAGACCAATAAGGGACCAGTTTATGCCAACCCCGTCGCTCAAGCACTTGTGAACAGCAGCGATTACTGGAAGGCCGACAATCTTCAGGTAAAGTGCCATTAGTTCCTCTTCTTCTTCCCTCTTATTCAATTTTTCGTCATACTAATTGTTCTTTCTTATTGTGTTGTTGCAGGCGCCAGGATCTATCAAAGACGAGGAGAAACTTCGTTCCTGGCTGGCCGGATACGAGGCAGAAGCCATTAAGGTAAAGATGATATGATAAAAACGTCACAGTCCAGCGGAGACAGAAAGCCGAGAGGGGGCAAAAGCTGAATGAGTGAGCGGGGAGTGACTGAGTGCGGTGGTAGTGGCATCGAGAAAAACTGGATTCGTTGTGATGGGATTTGCGCGCGGCGGCAAATGAATGAAGAACGGATAATTGGCCTTTTCGAATCAAAAACGTGTTGTCTTCATCGTCTAGTCAGCGAAAGAAAGAGAGATGAATGACATGTAAAATAGGAAAAAAACTAGCAAACGTTGCATGTTCTCGGATGCGAATTGAGATATGAGATCTCGAAAATTAATTATGGAATTTCTTTAAAAAATGAAATAATTAGGAGAGATTCTACTATATGTTAATCTAAAAAGTCGAGTGGAAGAAAAATGAGATCTGATTTTAAAAAATTTATAAATTTGAGATGTTATTCCAAAAAAATATAATCAATTTCAGGTCCTTCGTGAAGTTGCTCTCTCCGGATGGCGTTATTTCAACGATGCTTCCCCATCCCTCAAGCTTGCTCTCGATGAAGCTGAAAACGTTCTTACCATGTTCGTCAAAAGCACGTCTATGCAAGCCAAGCAATTCGATAAAGCATCAGTGACCGATGAAAGACTCAAGAGACAACTCGGATATGTTTCATTCGAAGGAATGTCCGCTCTTGCCCCATCCCGATTCGCCGAATTCTCTCAAGCTCAATCCACCCTTAACAGAGACTCCAAGGACTCGACCATCTGTGATAAGGATGTGCCACCACCATGTGCTCTTCAGTGAGTTCACTTTTTGTTAAATATTAAAATTTATTTTAACTTTGTTTCAGAAAAATCGATATGGATTCTATCTTCCGCAACGAGAAAGACGCTTCTAGACTCCAACACTTGTGGGTTTCTTATGTCACCGCTATTGCTAAGAGCAAGCCAGCTTACAACAACATCATTGCTATCTCCAACGAAGGAGCCAAGCTCAACGGATTTGCCAATGGAGGAGCCATGTGGAGAAGTGCCTTCGATACGCCTTCAAACATGGCGGACCTAACCAAGCAAGTCGAGAAGATCTACTCTACCATCCAACCATTCTATCAACTTCTCCACGCTTACATGCGTCGCCAGTTGGCAGGAATCTACTCAAACCCAGCTGGACTTAGCAAGGACGGACCAATTCCAGCACATCTTTTCGGATCACTCGACGGAGGAGACTGGTCTGCTCATTATGAACAAACCAAGCCATATGAAGAGGAATCTGAGACTCCAGAAGCTATTCTCGCCGCTTTCACAAGCCAAAACTACACTACCAAGAAGATGTTTGTTACTGTAAGTTACCATCGAGTTTTCTAAAAAATATATTATCAAATTATCAGGCATATCGCTATTTCAAATCTGCTGGATTCCCACAACTTCCAAAGAACTTCTGGACCAGCTCTATTTTCGCTCGTGTCTGGAGTAAGGATATGATTTGCCACCCAGCCGCCGCTCTCGATATGCGTGCACCAAATGATTTCCGTGTCAAAAGTTGTGCTCAACTCGGAGAGCCAGATTTCGAACAAGCTCATTCTCTTCTCGTCCAAACTTACTACCAGTACCTGTACAAGGATCAATCTCTTCTCTTCAGGTATACCAGGAAAACTGTTATCTTGAAACTGTTTTATAACTTTTTTCAGAGAGCCAGCCTCTCCAGTTATCACTGACGCCATCGCCAGCGCTTTCGCCTATCTTGCCACTAACCCACATTACTTGTATTCTCAGAAACTTGTTCCATCCGACCATTTAGACATTAAGAACTCCGTGATCATCAACAAGCTTTACAAGTAAGAGTGCCAACTGTGTCTTATCAATAAACTTACCATTTTAGGGAGTCGCTCGAAAGCTTCACCAAACTGCCATTCACGATTGCCGCTGACAACTGGAGATACGAGTTGTTCGAGGGCAAAGTGCCAAAGAACAAGTTGAATGACAGATGGTGGGAGATTAGAAACAAGTATGAGGGAACTCGCTCTCCACAACCATACAACACTTCCAACTTGGACGCTCTCATCCACAACTCTGTATCTCAAGTCAATTCCCCAGCTACTCGCTCTCTTATCAGCTATGTTCTCAAGTTCCAAATCTTGAAGGCTTTATGTCCAGAGGGAACTATCTTGGTACGATTTTCAATAGGTTTTTGATGGCTAAAAGATGATTTTCAGAGCGAAGGATGCATCTTGTCTGAGGATACTACCGAGAAACTTCGTGAGACCATGAAGTTGGGATCTTCGATCACTTGGTTGAAGGCTCTTGAAATGATCACTGGAAAGGGAGAACTCGATGCTCAACCACTTCTCGAGTACTACGAGCCACTTATCAACTGGCTTCGTAACACCAATGAGATTGATCAAGTTGTCATTGGATGGGACGGAGAAGGAACTCCATTCACTGTGTAAGTTTCTGTTCTGATAGAGGTTGACATCAATCTCTCAATTTTTTCAGCGAAGAAATTCCTAAGACCAGACAACCAGGAGATGGAGGAAACGGACTTCCAAGTGAAGATAGAGTTGCCTTCCCAGGAGGAGAATGTGTTAACGGACAAGAATGTCTTCTGGATTCTCACTGCAACGGAACCATCTGTGTCTGTAACGAAGGTCTCTTCACTTTGGAAATCGGAAACACCTTCAACTGTGTGCCAGGAAATCCAGCTGATAGTGGATTTGGAGATGGAAAGGTATATTTGTAACAAGCAATTTTACTCTTATCAATTTGGTTTCTTCCAGGGAGGACTTGTCATTGGACTCTTCAACAACGAAGCCACGACACCAGAGCCAGCTGCCGAGCCAGAACCAACTACAGTAACCAGCACAAAGATGCCACCACGAGTGAGATCGTCTGCTGCTCTTCCAACTTTCTTATTGACTGTTCTACCAGTTTTCTATTATCTTTTATAATTTGTTTTCAACAAAACTTTAGAACCTTAGGTTTTGATCTTGAAATCTCTGACTTTCTTCCCTTCTCTCTCTTCTCCACAAAATTTGCTGCAATGATGATAATTATAATATTAGAAAATCTCTAATTAATTTATATTATTTTTATCGAGTTTCGGGCCCGAGGCTACATTAGTCCCTCAACTTCTTCTTCTTCTTGTTGCTGTTGATGAAAAACGGTTATCAGAATTTTACTCCCCTGTCTTCTCAAAAAAGTTTCCCTATATATTTTTTAAGTAGTAAACTTGTCTCAGTTGTACAGCATATCAGTTTCAGCCTGATGATTCATTGGCCATATTGAGAAATAAAAATTAATAAAACTTGTTTTTGTGTTTCGGGGGAGGCTTAAAGCAAATTCAGAGAAATGTTCGAGGATACGGTTGCGTGTTAAAAGCGCAACAAAATCGAATTTTGTGGAATGAGAAACAATGGGAGAGTTGGGGAAGGACACAGGAATTATTGGGATAAAAAAGTTAAAAAGATGGCATGTGAGAAAGTGATATAATAGTGTTTAATCACAACATTTCGAATAAAAATCACCCATTCGAGTATCTCTGATGAGATGAGGTAGGCGTGTCCTACTTTGTTCCATGCTCGTGTTTAAATACCACACTGAACATCTTCCCTTTAAGACGGTCAGCAAGCCATTGGGTTTTGATGACGGCAGCCTGGAAAAAGATAATTATTTTTTTGGAAAAAACTTTAATACGAAAAATCATACGAACTAAGCAAGAATCTAAGTGATTCAGTTTTTGCCGCTCTGCCTTCTAGATCAAATCAACCGGCCACTCTCAGATTTACAGGTAGCAGTATTATTTTTTGATTTGACAAAAGTTTCCATAATGATTCATAGACCCAATCAGAACAATGTCTGAAGCCGCAACGCGTGTCGCTGACAGCACACAAAATTTAGCTTTCACGGAAGACTTTTAATGAGAATAAAATTTAAGGTGAATTCACACGAACATTGTCAACTCATTATATTGTTTATCTTTTTTCAACGTTTTCCAGCCTCTTAAGCGCAAATTTTGTCAGTTTCTCGATTTTCTATTTTATTTCCCGTCTTTTCAGTTTGAGAAATATTGCAAGGCGCATGGCGCATTAAATGACAGTCTATAACTAGAAACATTTTTTCCTAAAAGTTAGGGCAAGACCATCACAGACACGGCCAATTCTGCAAACACACTGCGTGACGCGCAATTTTTTTCAACACTTCAAAAGAAATTTGATCTTTTTTAGTCGATAATCAAGAACTTTCAGCCAATATTTACATATTTTGTATATGATTCATATCTAAATCCGTAATAAAGCACTCACCTTGAGAGTGTCACACTTGAACTGCACATTAAAGTTAGTGTGAAGCGCACGTCCCATTCCTTCAATAATCACCAAATCTGTCTCGTACTTCTGAACGACAGTGTTGAGATCCTCGTGAACTCGTCTTAAAGTCATATTATTTTAATGAAGCGATTAAAATTTTCAGGCTACCTGGCATCAAGACATGGCGACTCTTGTCCCGACTGCACAAACATTATCTGCTCAGTATCGATAAACTTGGCGAGGTCCGCATCAGCCTTCTTGAGCTCTGGAGCCAACTCGATCATTTCTCTGTACGTGAGATCATTGAGAGCTGGAAGAGTGTTGGCACAGATGATAACCTTGGCACCATTTCGAAGAAGTTCTCTGGCAAATGGAATCACTCCGAGGATATAGTCATATCCAGAATTGTCAACGAAAATGAGCACGGATTTATACTCCTTGTGCTTCTGGTAATAGGATTCGAATCCGTCGAACAACCACGGTCGATTCTCAACGTGATTGATCGCTGACTGGAAGCTAAGCCCTTTTTCACTGCTCATCAACTTCACGACCTCCTTGGCTCCCCAGTCGAAGACGTTTCCAGCGAGAAGACAACGCGACACATACTCCACCACGGCTTTCTCGTCCCCTGCCTGAAAAAATCGGAAAGTTATATTGCTAAATCAACTGGCATTCACCTCTTTAAGCTTGTCAATCGAAGCGAGCACAATTGGAAGCTCTGCAACTGCAGAAAGATTCTCCTCGTGTTTCTTTTGCACATAAATGTCATCGAATCCTTTCTCCTGCAGAATTTGTTCACGGACCTCGAGCAAATTTCTAGCGTTTGAGTTACCGTAAGCACTAAATAGGAATTGATAATTAGTTTATAGATTCAGTTTACAGGAAAACATACACATGATGCTCTTTGATTGTGTCCATGGTCTTGACAAAATCGCTCTCAAAATCTTTGGCTCTGCTGATCACATCTTCTTGATCCGGACACCCACTCTGAGAAGCGATGGCAAGTTCGGTGAGTTTTGCGATGGTGTTGTCTAAAATTTGAATCCAAAAATCACGAGCCTCATCATCCGTGTTGAAATCAATGGCGTCCGGTTTTCCATCTTTGTCAACAAGCAAGCAGAACGGAGCAGCTTTTAATCTAGCACACTTCAATGCGAACGTCTGAGTCTTGAATCCAGTCTCCAGTGGTTCAACCGGAACAAAACGACCTAGAGCAGTGGATCCCGAACAGTACTCCTTCCAGTACATATCGGCATTTGGGCATCCCTCCAGGAATGCTCCCAAACCAGTGGTGTAATTCTCGTGACGAAGGAAGCATGCCTTCAGTTTACCACCAGACCAGTAGTTACAAGCGAATGAGAGCGTTTTCATGACGATCGGACGATTTCTGACTAAGAACCCGTTGAAGAAGACTCGTTTGACATTTGACATCTCGGAGAGCATGAAAGCGATCTGAATCATTCTTTACAGCAATTCTTCCTCAAGAGTAAGTGGCTTACCTGAGAGACATTGTAGAGTACCATTCTGAGGAGACTGAGGATCGCATTGTTCTTCGACTGATCATCAAATTCTCCGGCTCTACGAATAGTCTGTGCACGAGTGACACGACCGAATGATGCAGCGAGCAAATGAGGATCCATATTGAAGTTGGCAGCTCTGAAATAAAATTTTATTTTTCAAACTTTTCGTTCTTACAGCTTACCGATCTCCGTAGATATCTCTGATGAAAATGTCGAACTCCTCTGGACTTCCTTTGAGAGCACGATCCATCATCTCTTCAATATCGTTGACACCTGTGATCAATTCCGAAAGACCGAGGAAACTGGCACCTCCGATTGAGCTTCCTCCGAGTCTTTGGAACTTGTTGGGTCCGTCGACAAGCACCACGGAGACTCCAGTACGAATGTTGATGAGAAGATATGGATACATGGATTCTGTGTTGAGCGTTTGGAATTCGTACTTCTGAGACTCATCGAACGAGTAGGTGAAACTCTCGGCTTCGATGTTACGCAGAAGGAATGAAGTTCCATTGACGAGTCCTGTGAAGGCTTCGACGTGACGCAATCTATAACCGCATTTTTAGTAATAAATATGTATAATTCACAAAAAAAATCTTACTTGACATCCAACGCCTTTCTGATTACCTCCTCGATTTCAGCATTTTGACTAGCAGTGACAACAAAATCAACGGTGGTTCCCTTCAAAAGTGGACACGTGTCACCGAAGAACTGTAGAATCAATGGAAAATCTGGATACTGGACTTGAATGCAGTAGATTCGGTCTTCTGATTTCTCTGTGTCCACTCTCTGAAGCTCGACATTTTGTTAGAAACTGAAATGAAATATACCACTAACCTTGCAATCCAAAGTTGTGTGAGAAAGAGGCACTGTTGATGAGTAGATGATCTTGACTGTCTTGGAGCACGCATCAAAGCAGATGTGATTGATTAACGGCGCATCTCTGACCAATCGGTGGAAGTCGATATTTCGTTGAGCTGTGTCCATCGAGAAGCTGGAATCATAAAAATTGAGTGAAAGCTAAGAGAATGTGAAAAAAAGAACAAAGTTTCACAAAGTGAGAAAAAAAAGAAAAGCGAGGGATAGAGAGAGAACGAGAAAAAACACATACATTTAGCATGACTTTTTATCCCATTCAAAAAATGTGACAAAATTTGATGTCTGCGTCTTTTTTCATTGTCATCTTATCTATAGAATAGTAACATGTCTGGTGGAAAAACGTATTGGTCGTCAAATCTAAGATTTAAAAAAAAGAGGGATTTTAGAGAGGGAAAAGTTCAAAACAGGTACGATGAGGAAAGAAAAGGTGGAAAAAATAAAAATTTTCGTTGAACAATATGCGGAAATCAAGTCATGTGAGATAGTAGATGATGTTGACAAGCGGTATGTTGTTTAAGAATGATCAATTGCGGCATTTATGAGGACAGAGAGGTATTTCTAGGTTCAAACGTGTATTTTAAAGTTTAAAGATTTGAACATTCACGAAACTGCGGGAGGATGAAAACCGATTGAAAATATTCAGTGGCTATCGAGGTGATCTTAATTTATTTTTTCAAACTTGAAAAGTTCTGTTTTGAACTCCGATTTTGTTTATCCGAGCGATTACTATGAGAAAAAAGACGGAACAGGCAGAAAAAACTGATTTCGTCGTATCCTAAAAAGTGTCACGACAGTTGAAGACTGCTCCGTAACACCCAAATCGCCTAATTCATAGTGAGTCGCTACGCAGGCAAATAGAGATAATGTCACAATGTGAAGATTCGAAAAGTGGTGCAAAACGAAAGGATAAACGGCTGAGTTTCAGTTTCGAACAGTGATTCAGAGAATTCGCCTCAATAATATTGAAGAAAATGCCCCTATCCAAAACGATTTCAGTTTCATCGTAGGGAAATGAAACCAAAACGAATGCGGACAATAGGATTATTGCGATATGCATATGCTTGCAAGCGTCGCCCATCCTAGCACTGGAAATATTGTTTTCGTGGCGAGACCCGCTGGACCGTCTGTGATGACTCAACTCGGATGGCATAGATTTGAAGAAAAATGACTCAGAATAGCACGGGATCGAGGAAGGGAACATTATTTGAAATTTGGCCCCTAGCCGATTTTCGACGCGTCGTGAGTCCTCGTATTGGTCTCCAGCCGAGTAGTGACTCAAATCAATGCTTAAGCTGCTATAATTTTCAAAATACGAACTGTCTGTGGAGAAGTATTTTCGTTTCAAGACCCATTTTGAACTGAAACGAATTTTTAAAAATGAGCTTCATGTTTACTGATCAAAATATAAAACTCAGGTATTTTTTGAGTAGTTATCGTACAATTAAATTGCATTCAGATGGTTTTCGCAGATATTTTGTCGAGTTGGCTGACAAAAAATGTTTTACGAAGAATGATCAAAGACGAGAAAATAGAGAATTATAAAATCAAAAAGCTTAGGGCAAAAAACAGACCATGGGACGATGGAACACGGCCTTGATCGAATTCCGAAAATTGCCTTCAAACTTTACAAAAGCTTTCAAGATTTCGTTTGAACATCTCTCAACACAGTTTCTTATAAAAACTTGAAAAAAAAAGATTCTGTTCGTTGCAAAAATGCACGGAGCGTCAAATAAAACTAATCAAACTCTGAGAACAACATTTTCACTTTTCCTCATCAAGAACGAAAAAAGAGCGGAGAGAAGAAGTGGAAAGGACGCGCTAAATGAGAAAAAATGAAGATAATTGAATATTTGGAATAATTATTTCGTGCGACCGGATGAGCAGCACGAATTGAAAAAATCCTGCTCCAAAGAGGAACTCGTTTGTATACTTGCCACACAGCTGCTGTGTAGGTTTAAAGCAGTAAGCAAGGGAAAAAAGGAAGAAAAAACATCGGGATGACTTGAGAAATAAGTAAAAATCGCCATTGGCTGACAACTAAAGCTTATGAGGAAGTAGGGAAGAGCAAAAGGCCAATGAATAGTAAGATTAAGATCGTTGGTCCTATTTTACAAAAATTTCGCGGAAAAATAAAAGATGAAACGGATTCTTCAGTGTTCTGTTTTTTGATTCTGATAGAAATCCAAAGTCCTGTACGGTGTGTAAACGAGAAATTGTGAAAACGGTACAAAACGTATAAAAAACTATTTCGAATAAAAAAAAAGCAAATGTTTCTCGGAATAATAAAGGTTGGGAATCGACAAAAAACCTTTCTGTCGTTTAAAATTCCGTCTTTTAGTTCTAAAATCCCATCTCTCTAGCTGAAAATGACAAAAAAATGGCAAGAGAACAGAGAAAAAAGATTGACCTCACACTCGCGAAACGTTCGACCACACCGGTAAACAAGTGAGCCCTCGCCTGAGGACACCAAACGAGAGAGTGTGCTCTGTATGGAGTGTGCAGACATGATTGCACGTCTTATAATACCAGGCGCATCTCAGCTAGTGTTCTTAGAAAACTAGAAAGAGGGAATTGTGTGATTCGCATTCATAACGGGTGGTAATGGACAAGAGAAGGAGAAAAGAGAGCTGCTAGAAGTCTCTTTTTTCTGGAGTAGGTCAGATAATTAGTAGTAAGAGAGGGTGAGAGACGGAGACGTTGTGAGAACAAAATAATAATTAAGAAACAAACACGGCGGCAGTTTCTCTAAATGAAAATACAATATTGTGGTGTTAGTCATAAGTTTTCGGAAGATGGAAAATCGGACCTGACATGTTATGTCTATCTTATCAAAGATGACCAGAATAGAAAAAGAGATATCACTTTTTTCTCACTTGTATTATTGTTAAGATGTAGTTTCTTTGACAGAATTCGTTAATTCTAGATAGAAGAACGACATGTCTAATGGAACCTTTTGTCCATCTCCGCCAGAAGAATGTTGCACTGAAAATAAGAGCATACCAATTCAGTTTGTTGCAATTCGGCTTCCGTTTTCTTTTTTCTCCTCTCTTTTCTCTCTTACTCTCTCTTCAGACAGAATAGTTAAGCGAAGGAGACAACACACAACCACTTTCTCTCGCTCTCTCTCCCGACCTCTTTGATTCTTCTCGCTCTCGCTCCTTGCCTCGTCGCAGTTTATGGTTGGCTTGTCATCACGCAGCGCCCTTAAGGTTAACATGGCCGCCATAGCTCAGTCGGTTAGAGCGTGGGTCTAATAAGCCCAAGGTCGCAGGTTCGACCCCTGCTGGCGGCAAATTCTTTTTTTTTTATTTTTTCAAAGATATATCAGGATTGCGAGAGATGTATAACCTTTTTGTGTGAATAAAACTTTTTTTTGCTGTGGCAAACATTTACAAAACAATAAAACATTAAGTTTCCACAAATAAGCAATGGAAAATAAAACGAGAAATGAGAAACCAAAAAAGTAAAATAACAATCATCGACCTCATAAATTGAAGAAGCGTCTTATCGGAAACAAATAGTTTTTTATCATGTATGACTCCGCATTGATACACTTGAACATCAGAACTTTGACCGAATTGATGAACAAAATATGAGATTCTAAAGAAAAATTAATTTCACAAACAATTAAAAATCTTAACAATCTGAATAGCAGCTTGTTTTATGAGAGAAACGAAATCAGTGTTGTAAATCGCTAGATTTTTTTATTGGTTGGAAATAAGCTGATTGAATTTTTCTCATAATGTTTGTGTAAGCTAATTTCGACCAAGTTGTTCAATTTATAGAGTTCTATTAAAAAACTCCAAATATAATTTCTAAACCTTTCTGTGATCATGTCAAAAATAGACTAAAAACAATAAAGTGCAGTGAAGAGAAACACAATTGATAAACATGATAAGACTTTTTTTTTCTTCCCGACAAAAAAAAATTGACAAGATACAAAGAGCTTGTTTCCGGAAATTGTATGCTACCAAACATCGTACATCTTCCGAGACAATCAGGCTATGGTTCTATGTTCGTGTACTTTTCACCCACCCTGTAAATTATGTCTTCAATTTTTTGAAGTTATCACGTTCTCTGATGTTCTGACATTGATACCATGATGATACTAGGAAATTTTTCCGAATAGAAACTATTCTTGACAATTGGCCAGAAATCAGCCGCCTACGCACAATTCCACGTTCAAGAAGTGTCCCGAATGATGCGATAATCGGCGCGCATCTTCATAACCAGAATATTCCATTAGATATTCGCCTTATCATTGCTTTTACTTATCATACCGGAAATTTGAACGGAAGTCAAGGGTCCGACAAACCGCCACATGCCTTCTTACAACTCAACTACCGTAGTGAATGAGACGCTTGGCTCGCTGCTGAATGGAGCCATTTGGGCACCGCACCTCGTCTCAGAAAAGCCTCCGCCCTTCCAAATCGAGCTTCGAGGCCTCTCGTCCCATGTTCGTGTGAAGGCTCTCGCTCTTCATTGCACTCACAACCAATGTATCCAGCCGCGTTGAGTAAGTTGTATTATTTTTGTTCCTGAAGAATTAGGCAAGTCTGCCAAGTGTTTTATGGCACCACGTCGTTTTGGCTGACAGGATGTGATTATTGTTAGGATGCATTTGGCGTCTTTGGGGGTACGAGCACAAAGGAACGGAAACAGGCGCTTCCGCACCTTATTTCCTTGCCTCGATGCCAAGTTTTATAGAGCCTCAGTTCTTCCGAAGTCAAGATCTCCGGAAACACTAGCGATTCTTTTCTTCATATCGCGTGTTTTTTTTCTAGGATAGGAATCTAGTCTCTCAGAAATCTCTCAATCTGAAACGTTTTTTTTAATTTTCAGTTTTCTATGACAGAAATGGCAAAGACATCTGTTTTGAGGAAGACAGTAGAACGTACGAATTATAATTTTTGACATATTACTTCATTAGAATTTTAGTAATTTCAAAGTCGATATTGTCGACGATCTTTATAAAATATCTATTTCTATTTTTCAATAAGTCGAAGAAATAATAAAAACTGCCAGCTTGTTTCAGCTTGAAATTTATTTCGATGCTTCTCTAGGAAAACATGCGAGCATCAATTTGTGACTGTTTTCTTCTTCGGATCAGGTTTTGAAAGCATTCCTTAGTGAAACATCCTCTCCCTCCATATCGCCCACGCCATTTTAGCCCACTTTGAAAAACTAAAGTATTTTTTCTCACCTGGCTCACCCCCATCCTTGCATCCCTTATCAAACAGAACACATTCAATTTTTTGTCAGCTCATCCTTTGTCTCCTTCCGGTGCCCTCACATGACTTTTCGAACATTACCTCCAGGAAATTAAACAATTTCCATGGATCTAGCATTGATAATGATATTAGCATATACCAGTCCGCCCATTACCCTATTCTTTCCATTCTATACGCGGAGTATACGTTTTGAAATGTACACCCATCAGAATTCTGAGGAGTATTATGATGCTTTTGATTATTTCTATGATACTCCATCTTTCCGTCCGCAAGCTGGTGAGAAGGATTTGTTGAGAACTGGATCCAAAGATTCGAGATTTCATTATAAATTTTGTTTTTCAGATAACTACAACAATGTGTGCCAGCCAGCTCCTTCAGCTCAGTGGGATACTTCCCTGTCCAATGGACAAGACACGGCTCGCCTAACCGATGGTCAGTTTGATGAATAGTTTCCTTTCACCCTTTTCTATTAACAAATGCTAATGCAGTTGACTCCTTTTTGCCGCCCAACGATATTTATGATCGCTGTTATCTAGATTTTTCCTTTACAATGTTCCATCTTACACATTTTAGAGAAAAAATGACTTGTGAGGTTTCATTCAACGTTGGGGACCCAAGTCACCCAAGAAATGTCTCAGGATTGCTAAATGATGTGTGAGACGTCTATTGAAGCATGCTCGAATAGAGCAGTTATGTGTGCATACCTTTTGGATAGCTCTTGTGTTTCCTTCGCAAAGCACAGGTTTTCTTAGAATTCGCGAACAAAAAGCAATGACTTTAGGTAAAGAAAGGAAGGGAGAATAGTTTGAAAAAAATGACGTTGAAACTTGCTCACTAGAGAATAGTGTTAAGTTGCAAGTTTTTGAGTATGAAACGCATAATTGAGAAAATGTTTAGTGAACCGCCCCGAATCAGGCTAATTACGCTGAGGATCATGACTTTTGCCAATATCATTGTTTCAATCTTCTAGAAATGTACGTCTTTATAAGCTCTACCAAGAACTACTAAATACCGTAATTCCTCTAATAGAACCCCACCTCTAATAGAAGCCAACTCTGGCTGTGCAGGTTTCTTCTCGGTTATTGCAGAAATAACCATATTTTGCTAATTTTCCGGTAATTTCCATTAATTCTTGTCGTTTCAGAAATATTCCTGTTCAGTTCAGAATTAAACGCCTTTAATTCGAGCCGTTTTTCTAACGGAAGTCCACCCTGAGAAAGAGGTTAAAAAATAGAAACCCATGGGCCTCTATTAGAGGAAATACGGTACATTACCGCTGTAACTTGTGATAAAAGGGTCACCTTACTAACGTAAAACAAATTTATGTCAATTTTCATAGCAGATATTGAATCAAGAATTATTTATTAGTAAAAGACTTTCATGCATACTTGTAAAATTCCGGGTCGACCCGCCAAAACCCAGGCCTGAGGAAATTTTTAAGGCCCGGACCCGGTATCAAAAATCATGTATTTTTAAGCCAAATTTTGAGCTCTCAGTATAATTTTCTCCATTTTTTTGTTATTTTGGATTGTTTGTCTGTTTGCTCTAAAAAGATCGAAAAAACTCGAAAAAAAATTTTTGATCGAAAAAAATCACATAACCCTTATGTGTTTTTCGAAGTTTTCAAAACTTGTGAAATGACAGGC